ATCATCAAAGGAATATATTAAAATAACACTCTGCTACGTTATAAACAGTTTCCAATTTGTTCTGTTCTGATCTGTTCTAAAGTAAAGTTTAGTTTCTTAAATAATATTTTTTTTTTGTATTGTTTTTTTCTTTTTTTTTTTTTTGTTTTTTTTCAAACAGTTTTTATATTATGATCTTGAAGATTGTTGTCTATTTCAACTTGGTCGGCATTGACCAAATATATTGCAAAAACAATTTTTATATATCAATTGCCAAAGTGTTCACCAATCATAATAAACGCGTAAGACCACCAGATTATAAGAAAAGATTTCAATACGATAACTGGCACAGATTTTTAACATTATAAAACAACGATAACAAATAAGCATTAAAACGAAACGCAGTGACAACCGCAATGCGTACCGCGTCTTAAACGATACCAAATATAAAACAAAACAAACATTACGAGCTTTTATAACGAACACTTCTTACAACGAATTAATAAAAACAAAACAAAAAAACAAAAAAAAGAATACGTGCCATATATACAATACAAATATATTTATATACATATATATTTATTTATATATATATAGGTATATAAACATATAACGAATTTAGAAACAACAATTTCGTACCATTTTGTTCTATCTTTTCTGAGAAAAGTTTATTTTTAATTAGTTTAAATTTTAATTGTAAAAAAAAAAAAAAAAAAAAAAAAAGAAACAAAACAGGCATAGAAAATAACATCAGAGAATAAAGTAACACAGAGGCATAAAAAGTCATAAATATATAAATTAAGTTTTTCTTTTTAATTTTTCTTTTTAAGAATATTTTCTATTCGTTCACAAACAAAACTAAATTTTACTAGTCATTTATTATCCGAAACAAAAAAAAAAAAAAAATCAAAAAAAAAATAATATTAATTAAGAAAAAAAAACTTTTTTTTTTTTTTGTAATCTATCCGCCCACTCCTAATGCATAAAAATTAAAAAGTTAAATTATTAGTTAATAAACAAAGCAATTCTTTATATCAAACTTATGAAAAATTTTAATGTAAAACCGTACCAAGCGTACCAACCCTATAATACTCTGCCCACCAATCATAATAAAGGTCGTCATCTGCTACAGCAGCCTAAAGCAGCAACTCATTCGCTTCACTACTATCAAGAGCAACAACAACAGCAACAGCAATCACAAGAGCAAATAATTTTTACCAACAATCACAATACGCCTACTTCGCGTAATAGTAATACCAACGCATTACAATTTACACCACAGCACACATCTTGTCTATTAGCATCATCAGCATCCTCGTCATCATCGCCATCATCATTATCGTCATCATCATCATCATCAACATCATCATCGTCACGATCATCAACATCACTATCGTCGTCATCATTAGCAAAACAGTCAGCAATTATTGAATCAAAGACAACAAATATAACTCCTACGCTTGGCGGTTATTTAGTTAATAATAATCAATCTCAACAAAATCTTAATCAACAACAACAACACTCAACAGCCGCAATGTTAGCTTTAAGTAACGTCCCGACTAACAGCAACAGCAACAGCTGCATTAACAATTATAATTTAACAAATTTGCATTACAACAACAATAACAACAACAACAACAGCACTACTCTCTCTCGTCGACCACAACGACCGAACTCATTAAATTTGACGAAAAATTTTTCAACATCACCACCGACTTCATCACCATATTCATCAATTTCTTCCTCTTGCTCTACAAATACTTCGGCGTCGTCGTTATGCTGCGCAAATGTTCCGCAAACAACAAATTTCAATTTTCCTCTTAATTCTTGTTCTTCCACTTCGTCGTTCTCGTTACCGACCACGTTACAACAGCAACAGCAACAGCAACAGCAGCAACAACAACAACAACAACAACAACAATTACAGCAAATTGCGCAAAATAATACAAATGGCGATAATTTTTTAAATTTTCAATCAAACCATAATAATAATTATTTTACAAATTACAATAATAACCAAAATAATAATAATAATAATAATTATATTGCGCAGCAGCAGCAGCATCAGCAACAGCAGCAACAATTCTATCAACAGCAACAACAACATATGCAATTATTACAACAACAATTAAAACAACAACAACAACAGCAACAACAACAACAACAACAACAAATAAATAATATATGTGATACACCACCACCTGCAACTGCAAATGGTTCGTTAACAATGAACGCAACAAATTCAATTCCTTTTGCCGTCAATCAATCAAACAGTATTTGTAACAACAATGAAATTCATTACAACAACAACAATAATAATAATAATAATAATAGCAATAGCAACAATAATAACAATAATAACAACAATAATAACAATTGTGATAAACTTACATTGGATGCCTGTGAAATTGCGAACTTTCTCGCCAATGAGCTTTTTATGCAACAGGTACATAAATCTCCTCTACTCGTAAATTTCTCGTTTAGAAAAAAGCGATGGAAAAGATTCATATAAATAGGTTTAACTGATGAAATTATTTCATTTTCCAATTGTTCATAATCAAACAAAAAATGGGTGACAAAAAGCCGGAAAAGCTTGAAAAATTTCAAACCCATTATGGTATTGCTGCGTGCTCTTAACCAGAATGGCGCTTCGCTTTTGCCGAAATTGTATTTAACTCGATAGATAAAATCGTCTGCCATGATTATCTTTTTCTATTTGGGTTAGAATTATTTATTTAGTTTTTTTTGTTTTCTTCCAAATCTCGCTCCTGGCGACTTTATTAGTGTAAAAGTGAACGGAAATTCTGAACGGACTAATTTCGATTGGAATTCGGTTAGGATATCCGCTGAAATTGAATTGAAATTCGTTTGCAAGTCAATTGAGATTAGTTTGGAGTTCCATTGGAATTCATTTGAAATTGATTTGTTCGAATATTTGATAAATCGAATGTTTTATGAAGGCCACGACAACATAATACATTAATTTTCAAATCAAGAAGTTGAAAACGTAGAATTCAAATTGAATTAAAATTGAATTATATTTCAAATGCAAGTGAACTAAAGTTGTAGTGATCTTGTATTGGAATTGAGTTAACATTGAATTCATGTTAATTCTAAATTAAATACTTTACGACGGCGGACGGTAAGAAGTGATGGATTAATTTCTATTCGGACAATCTGCTCCGATATGGATGTCAATTAAGAAGTGCTTTGGAAGCATCCGTTTTTTTTTTAATTAGCTTTTATTTGAATGGATTAAAATAAAGAAAATATAAATATATATATAATATATATATATATGTAAATATAATATTATATAATATATATATATATATATAGAAATATAATTCTTATAGCATACATCACTTGTGGTACAAGGTATATTTGTATTCAGTTCAAGTATTCAGTTTGTACGCGACACCCAAGAAGACTTGAGATGGACCCACATCTGATTATACCTGATTTAAGTTTGTCTGTCCTTATTGCTTTCTTGTGTTTTCAATCTAAAGGTTGCAATTTTTTTTATTTTGATTAAATTTGATACACATGCGCCCCAAGAACGAGTGCTCATGAAATCATGGTTCGGATCGGGTCACTTTTTTGACTACCTCGCGTAAGATGGTCTAGGGTGTTTAATGGTGGGACGTAGGCGTCTATAGTGTTTTCCCTTGCGTAAAAATGATTCTAAGAAAAAGTTTATTTTCCTCCTTTTACTTCGTTGAGATGATTGGTTTTTTAAAAATAACATTTTTTTTTTTTTATATATATAACTTTTAGAATTTTTTTTTTCGAGATAAGTTACCATTCACTATTAATACGAAAGCAGTTTGCGACCGTACAATTTAGAATGTAGCTTAAGGATACATTAAGGATACATCATATGCTAAGCTTTACCTTTCCGATTAGAGAAATCCAATAACATACAGTTGGAGGTACGAAAGTGATTTAATCTTTACCGAAAGGTAGATTGCGTTAAAGCGTTTTCCATCAAATCTTCTAAAGTGCATAAAGTATATATAAATTATTAAAAGGAGGAGGAGGAGGAGGATTAGGAGGAAGGGATCGGTCTAAATGTAAACTGATTGATTTCTAATATTTTCCGTACACAAGGCTTAATATTATTGTATAGTTAATTAACATAAAAAACAATAATAAAGCAAAATGCATTCCAATAAATTTAATAACTTAATAATTCTCTGAAGCAATAAAAGCGAAAAGACGTGAGTTGAACTTTCTCACGTTAATTACAAAAATAATAAGTAGAAAAATAATAACAAAAAAAAAAAAAAAAAAAAAAATGCTTTAAAATTCTATTTCTTATTTACCCCGCCATGTCATACAGAGAAACAAAGAGAGAGTAAAAGAGAGAGAGAGAGAGTTAATTTCAATTAAAATCTAAATTAATTTAAATTTATATTCCTGTGTAAATGTCGACAATACTTTATATTGCATTCGGTTCACTTATTTACTCATATATATACATATATATATATATATATATATATGTATATATATATATTTATTATTGCATTAAAAAAGAGCACAAGTATTTAATTAGAATTAATTAATTAAATGTTTTTTTTTATTTTTGAATTTAGTCAACTTTCGCGCTCCCTTTGATTTAAAGCCAAA